GGGGGGAAGAGTATCTGGAATCTGGAGCGGGTTGGAACTTGGAAGCTTTCCATTCGTCTTGGGATTCGGTGCTCTAGAACGAGTTCCTAGTATTACTCATAACAGCAAGCTTCCACTTCCTGTCACACATCGGTGATCCGCCGGCCGTGTCGTGGGGAAAGAATCCGTAAGGAAAATCCCTCGTGAGAGCTGAGCTGAGCTGAGGGAGGCGTCGGAAGTTGTCCACTTGCCAATCGCATTTCCTCCTTTTCAAGTCCCCAGGCTTGTGGGAGCTCCATGCTTGTTTGTCATCGATCTGGATTTTGAAAAGTAATGAATAAAATAAATAAATGGAAGCATAAATCCGAGTCAGAAAGCAGATGTTCTCATGGGACTTGCAAGCTCTCCAGCAGGACTCACACCGGGTTGAAAGGGCAATAGGTGCAAGGGCTGCAAGGGCACAGCGCTCCTCTTGGTCAAGGATCAAAACATTGAACCTAACCGGAACCATTGATCAATTCCTGATCACTCACTGGCTACTGTGGCAGTGTGGCTAGACTGCTACTCGAGTAAATAATGTGGGGTAAATTAACGCCCGCTTCTTGGATTCCTCCGATTATCGCCAGTTAACACACTCAACCCTCCGTCATGTCCCGACTGCTAACGCTCCTACCTCTCTCCTCCTACTCCCCTAGCTTTGGATCATTTGATCACGATTAAGGCTTATAGGTTGAAGGCATACGGTACGGTATAGACTATCGCAGCATTTACTCGAAGCCAAAGCCTCGACTCGGAGTCCCGGGAACAAATCATTCGCCTATCGGTCCAGACACTGTGAGCCTGTGACCGGGATGCCCTGCAGGCAAAGTGCCGCTCGCCGGCACTATGACGCGTGACATCGGCCACGGGGTGAAAAGAAAAAAAAAAAAAAAAAAAAAAAAAAAAAAAACCCTGGAGCATCACGTGGGAGAGAGCTTGTTTAGTTTCACTCCCGCAGAGATTCGAGACTGTTCGTTCCGAGGGAGTCAGAGCAGCCTCCGTGGGGACAGAAGTGCGTAGTCCTGTTGGTGTGCTTTCAGCTCTAGGGCTACTCGAAACCTTTCCGCGTCCATTGCAGGGTGTCGTTTGTACTGAACGCTGTACCTTGTAGAATAAGTACAGTACCCCGAAAAGTCATTCTTCTTTCATCGGCGTGCGGGATCGGCTGCAATTCCACATCGGGCAGCTGATGGGGTGGGTGATTGTGGGCCTGTGCTAGGCTGCTACTCCCTGGGCTCTTAGGCCCAATGTGTAAATGCGGAGATCTGATAGACAGTTAATCACAGCCTACCAGTCCTGATACTATGTACATAGTATGTACTGTAGTACATAAGATCAAGGAACAAGATTTGGTGCACTAAAACCGAACAGTCCTCCTCAGCAGTCAATGCTTGTAAGGACCTTCAACACATTGCCCGAGCACAACATGCGCCTTTTCCGACTGATCTGTGGTTATGGCACATGCTCCTGGCCGGTAAATTGTCTCTTGGTACAAATGAGCTCGGCGTTTGATATCCCGGGCAAGGAGTGGAAGAGGAACCAGGTCCTCTGATAGTGAGAATGGTACGTGGCCAACGTACATACTACGCAGTCGATACTACATAGTATTGGCTTCCTTCGAGGCGCCTACGATTTTGACACAGCCTGAAAGCCCCTGGAATGGACGAAAACCGTCATAGCGGCTTTGTGCCATACAGACAGCCCGTGCGGCTGGGATTTGGTTTGCAAGATCCCCGGACAACGTAAGCAAAGCTAAAGTTGACACTCCCATTCGTTCCTCCTTCTTCACGTGTCCAGTAGGAAAGACTGGAATGAAATCATGATTGTATCCCGGGGTCCAGCGAGAGGATAACTAGGGGCCGTTCGGCACTTCCTCACGGGTATGGACCATCACGAAGTCTCGAGGGAGCCGACGGAAGCGACCCCGAAATTCATGAAAATCAGACCAGGGACCACAGGCTTGTTTTTCGGCCAGTCACAGCTGCGCAGGCTCGGAATCTTTTCCGGTTGAAGCATGACGCAGCTGCTGACCAAGTTTCTGGCTAGCAGCTCGGCCAGGAGCACTATTACGATCGAGTACCAAGTACCTGAGCCATCACCAACTGTGAACAGCCACAGGAGCCCCATGGCTTGAATGAAGAAGACACTCCAATGAGATAATCCATAGTAGTCTTAGATTTGCACCTGGTTCCTCTGGTCCGAGGGTAGCCAAGAAGAATGTTAACCGATTGATCAAACATCCACACGCTTGTGACAGCCGGCTCAAGTAACGTGACCGGGCCGATGGGGCCTTTATCGGAGAGAATGGCTGGGAAAGCTTCGAATCCTGGAGCGGTTGAGAACTTCCAGAGAGGCACAACAGCCACTCACTGACTCCTGACTCACAGTCTCACTGGCTCACTGGCGAGAGGGACAAGAAGAGTGGGGCCAGCCGGGATGTCTTTCCTTTACTGAAAGCGCAAGACGGAAACCTCCGGCTAGATAATAGCATGCTGCAGCTGGTGCCAGAGAACTTGGAAACCGATTCGGTCCACTGCACCTTTTTCCTTTCCTCTTTGGATGGGACCGCCTTTTCGGACTTTTTCTTTTTCTTTTCTTTTTTTTTTTTTTTTTTTTTTTTTTTTTTTTTTTTTTTTCTTTTTGTTGTATTATATTTTTCGCTTTTTGGCGATTGGAGAAGGTGGAGTGGGGTAGGGTGGGGGGGGAAGCGCTCAACCTGGGGCTTGCCGCTCGAGACTCGGAGGAGGAGGAGGGGGATGGCGAAGTGGAGAGGGGAAAGGAAGAACCTGAGGGTGGAGGGAAGGTTGTTCACTGTTGTTTTAGTTGTTACTGGTACCTTGACTGTTGGAAGCCTGAAAGTGTGAAAGTCGGATGGATACGGCGTCACGGCCCTCGTAGGCTCGTACAGTAAGCAGCGGCAATGACTGGCTCGTAATCAACAGGACTTCCCCACCCAACGTGGCCCGCTTTCTTCCTCGAGACTCTCGAGTCACCCGGTTAGTACTAGCCGACTTCATCTGACGCCCACTTTTTTACTCTTTTTTCTCTTTTTGTTGCGCCTATTTTTCTGCCAGGTGGCCAGCGTGACTACAGTCAGGATTCTTCGATAACTAACTAATAGCGATGATGATGGCGATGATGATGATGATGATGATTCTCCAGATCCAGGAAGTTAGTTTAGTATAGTTCCGCTAGTTATTTTACTACTTAGTACTCCGTACTCCGTAGTAAGTATTATCGTTGTTCCCTCGCTCGCTGTGCCGCCTTTCCTTCCTCTGCCATTTTTGAGTGGTAACAATCCCACGGTTCTGGTCTGGGGGAGGCAAACGAGTACTAACTGCATTAGTAACTACAACTAAAGTGGATCTGGGGCTGGTCCTTTTCCTTTCCCTTTTCCTTTCCCTCCCCATTGCTACGAGACTGAGAGACTACGAGTCCCCGTACTTTACTAACTGATTGACGGATGGAAATGTCATTTTTGGAAGTGAGGGTTTTTTTTTCTCCCCCAAATTATTAAAATCCCTACTTAGTACTTAGTACTTAAACATTCTCCTCCCCGACCCCCGCGTCGTGTGTCGACTTACCGTCCCTTTGGACGAAAAGATTGAAACCTGGTCCGGTGATCTCCTGCCTCTATTTCCCCGGAATTTATCCCCCCAGGAAAAAAAAGGAAGAACCCATTACAAGAGAGAGAGAGAGAGAGAAAGAGAGAGAGAGAGAAAGAAGAACAGAAGCAAAAGCAAAAGACATCTCAACTCACGTAACCTCTTTTTCTATTCATCACCTTTGGGAATACTTGCATATATCATCACGGTTCTAGAGGGGAACGAAACCCAAAAGCGCGCAATCCAAAGAAAGATTTACATCTCCACTCTTCCGTCACTGTCTCATTTTGATCACCAAACTTATTTTATAACTTCTCTGTTACTACCCCTTTCACAATTCTTCTTGGCTCTCTTTCAATTATCTTCATTCTTCAACATATTAATTATCTTGTCCACCCTCAACCATTCATCTACTACCCATCGTATGGACTGAATCAACCCTAGTCCGTGCTTCTTCATAACAATGACCAATTCCGCCGCATCACCGTCATCGGCATCCAACACTCCCATGGAGACTGATCCCAAAAGCAAGCGCAAGGCCTCTACAGCTGGTCTGCCGGCCAACTCCCGTCCTGTGAAACGGCGGGCTTCCAAGGCCTGCTGTTGTTGTCGGGCTCGTAAGGTGCGCTGTGATGTGGTCGAGAATGGATCACCATGCACCAATTGTCGCCTGGATCAAGTAGAGTGCATTGTCACTGAGAGCAAGAGGAGAAAGTTCGTCCATGTCGAATCTGTCTCCCGTCTGATTTCCACTCCGCAGAATCACCGGCTAACCTCGAACGCGCCGTGTTGCCACTATACAGGAAATCACGTGTGGAAGGTGACAATGGCAATTCACAGCTGCACTCACACTCCCCTGCCGAGGGCGCCGAGGATGCTTCCAACCTCTTCCGCAGACTGAGCGAATCCCAGGGGCTATCAGATGTCGCTCCTGCGTCTCCGTCCCAACGGTCACTGGATCTAGACCAAGGACAGCACATTCCCCATCTTTTGTGTGCGTATTGATCCTCCAGTCACTTCTACTTGGAAATCATCTTGCGCCCAGCATTGTCTAATTCATAATCATGTTTCAGATCAGAGTCAAGTCAATCGGGCTGGCTCTGGAGATCGCTTTCGACGAAGAGTGGTCCCCAATCCGGCTGTTCCGGCAACTCTCCCATTGCACCACGTCACGTCACAGATTCAGCAAATGCTGGACCCCTCTTTTGCCAGGCCAAGAACGGGCGGAGTCGCTTTGCCTGATTACATTCGTGGTCTCCCGCCTCGTCTTCAAAAGGAAGACATTGAGTACCTATACCAGAAAGGGGCGTTGACCGTCCCCGACGTGGGTTTGCGCAACGAGCTGCTCAAAAGCTATATACACTACGTGCATACTTACATGCCCCTCCTTGACTTGGAAGATTTCCTGCAGACCATTGTTCAGAATGACGGCATCCGTCGAATGAGTCTATTGCTCTTCCAGGCCGTGATGTTTGCGGGCACAGCTTTCATCGGCCTGAAACACCTTCATGCAGCGGGCTATCCTTCCCGAAAAGCGGCACGCAAGGCTTTTTTCCAGCGAGCAAGGCTTCTTTACGACTTCGACTACGAGGTTGACCGGATCTCACTTGTTCAATCACTGCTCCTGATGACATACTGGTATGAGACACCAGATGATCAGAAAGATACCTGGCATTGGATGGGTGTAAGCCTGTCTCTCGCACACACGATTGGCCTACACCGGGATCCGGGTAACTCACGCATGGATGTTCGGCGTCAACGAATGTGGAAACGGATCTGGTGGAGCACATATACACGCGATCGCCTGATCGCGCTAGGGATGAGACGGCCCATGCGTGTAAAAGACGACGACTGCGACGTTCCCATGTTAACCCTTGATGATTTTGAGTTCCAGCCGTTTTCCCCTGAGATTGTGAGCATGGTGGGCAACTCGGAAATTTTACAGAACCCGCAACACCAGCGAGAGCTAGCCCTCATGTTTATTGAAAAGGCAAAGCTCTGCTTGTGTGTCAGCCACGTTTTATCTGCGCAGTATTCGGTCTTGAGCCATAAGTTTGGCGGGACAATGGAGACTACGATGATGCTGGTACCTAAAAAGTCGGCAGCAGAAACGTTTGAGGTCCGCCGATGTGACCAAGAATTGGAAGATTGGCTGGCCCACCTTCCCACCGAAATTCAATATGCCCCTGCCGCACCCGCCAAACTTGGCGAGGCCCAAGAGGTGCTTCATTCCCATCGCGCTTTGCTGAAAATGGTCTATTTGACCACATCCAGCGCCCTGCACCGCCCGCAGGTCCTCCCTGCGATCCCGTTTCCATCTACGGATGCTGAACTGCAGGAAATGTCAAGGAACAAGGTCAGGTATGCTGCCATCGAGATCACGAACATCGCCCAGGATCTACACAGTCTTGATTTGACGCGATATTTCCCTACGACCGGCGTCACGGTTCTACTTCCCGCGGTCATAATTCATCTTCTCGATATCAAGTCTAGCGATCCCACAATCCGGATGACCAGCCTCCAACGGTTCTATCAATGCATGCGGATCCTGCAGCGCCTAAGAGAGATTTATGCGTCTGCCGATTTCGCGACATCGTTTTTGGAGGCTGCGATCCGAAAGGCTGGGATTCAGCTTACAGTCGCGCCACAGGATGTGCACTCACGGTCCAGCAGTACGCTTGGCGCGACTACTCGGGCCAATGCCTTGACTCCACCCCCAGATTCTTTGGCACAGAAGATTCCCGACCTTACATACCCCAAGTCTGACACATCCGCGCTTGTCGAGCAACTTGCTGCGGAAAGCGGGCCTGCCTTTGCCTCTACCCCGCCGCCTTCCGACGGCAGCGAGAATGGCAGCACAAGCAATTTAAACCCGAGCTATCATCAGGATGCATTCAGCATCCCTAGTCTGGATTCCGAATTAAGTTTAAGCCAATTGATGGACTTGGCGAATGATGCCGAGGTCACTCAAAATGATTTCGATGCTCTCATCAATTTTGACGACACGGGGGCCGATTTTCTGGGTGTCGACGATAGCATCAATTCCACCGGACTCACTGGCAGTAAAGGCTTTAGTTTGGGACTAAGTGCCTTGGATAACTTACCCGACATGGCTACGTTCAATTCGACGGGGAAAGGTCTCAACCTTCCGGGTCTGGAAGTTGAGCAAATCTCTGACGAGCGCGCCCCTGGTGTGGGGCAGGCTGGGATGAATACAATCTCATCCGACCTTGATGCCGATCTCGGATTGAATCTTTAAGCATGACCTGTGATGCTATTCACCGCTTCCCGAGTGCAATTTTACCTGTGCCTTTCTTCCTCTTTCGCCCCCTAAATTGCGTATATTTACTGACCATGATGCTGGCCTGTTGTGCCCAATAGCGCACATACACTGAACACCCTTTTTTATAGCCTAGAATACAGGCAGGGTGTGTAGATTTATTCACCTATTCAGGGATGGGTGAACTCTTTTTACGGGACCCGGTTAATAACTCTTTCTATGTTTGTTTTTGTGACGGAGTTGGCATTTGTGCCTACCGTCATAGTATGTATATAACCCGCACAAGCGGCGGCAGGACATTTGATGAATATAAAACGTGTACATGATACTGGCAGGTGCATATGAACTATAATATTGGTTTGGGGGCATTCTCAACTCCAGTTCCGCCTAGACAGGTAAATAGTCTAGTAGAGACTAACTTGTGCGTGGTCAGGGTTGACCGCCCCGCCCCGCCCGATGGAGCTGTTGTACTGTTACACTTGCGGAACCATCATGGGCCTTTGCGGAGTTCCAGTCTAGCGGTCAATGTACCATTACCGGTATTGTATGTGCATCTCGACCGTTGGTCTATTACTGGTGGCGCACAAGCAACCCTTCAGCCCCCTTTGCTATCAGTCAAGTCCAGACACATCTGGCCCTGCCACACGCGCAACCTGGAGGTGCAGTCAAAAGATAAGTTACCTATTGTGACTTTTCGCAGTTACATCCGACCATCGACCCCATCAATGAATGAATGAACCAATGCAGCTCGGCAGACTGCTGCCGGCTGCCTGCCACAATTCATAGTTTGAGCAACATTGCTAAGTGATATGCGATTAACCTCGCTTCCTTGGAGCTGGAATGATCGGTATGTGTATTGATCGCATACTGCGACCCAAGGTACAGTACCTACACAACAAATCCTGAGGGGCCGAATATATCCTCAATAACAGTATATGTACCGAAAAGGTAGATTTATATATGTGAGATGTACAACATCACCTGATGCAGGCACCGACTGCCATTGTGAGTACTGTCCAATCCCGGCTGGGATCACACAGGGGGGATGCAGTAGGTTGTATGACCTGGAAAATAGGCTGGTGCGCCTGCACATAATATAGCTCTATAGCTCTGTAGAGGACTGCGGGTGTCCGGTATAGTATAGAGAATAAGAACCGGCATACGCCCGCACAGTCTCCTGGTTAACTACAGTGTGTGGCCAAGTTTATAGATGGATCAATTGCCTATGTGTCTACCGACCTTCTTTTGTACTCTGGCTCAAGGCAAATTTTGCTAGTGCCGAAATCCAACGAGGAATTGGGTGAAAAGTATCTCTCGGAAAATTCGAAGCCCCGACGATGTTTTCCCTGATGGCAGGGCTAGGGAACAATAGATCAGGGGGGCAGGTGGTCTAGTCTTTCACGCAGGCTTGGGGGCTTTCATCGTATTTCTTGGCCCCAGCTTTTGGTTGCAGCTTTCGCTTCTTTGCTCTATTTCTCGCTTTTTGCCTTCAGGCCTCGCATGAGTAACCGAAGCCTCTTATCTTGTCCTGGAGCGCAGAAATGTCAATTTCAGGGGAATGGCTGCACTACAGCGAGAAACATGGAACCCCCGGAAGACCTGCACATTATTTCAGAGTATGGAACCCCGGCATGCAAAGATAGGAAACTCAAAGAATAGTTGTTCAGATGAGGTAATTACAAGCGGAGGTTAAATGGCTAGGGTAACGGCGGAGAAAATATGTCATTAAGGGCTCCTACCCCTGGTATCAGCAAAGGGACTATGAAATATGAAGATTGAAGAAATTAGAAGATGGAAACAAAGAATATGCGTCAAGGGGTCGGAAGCACCAGCAACTAGGCCCAGACCAATGAGTTCATCATCGCAGCATCGCTTCGTGTAACCAGATCGCCATCCTTTCATGGACAAGCATTTCTAGTCAAGGAGAAGAATCAACTGAGAGAGGCGCGCTTTTCATCCTTCTTATCAATGGACTGTTGCGCCTCTAAAGGCACAGATACCCCCACTTCTTGAGCGGTCTCGTCCGAGAAGCGCAGATCAGCCTCCATGTCCGCGTGCTCCTTGATCTTGAGGAAAACTACAGGGGAGGCAATCACAATACTGCCAGCAAGGAGACCCCAGCATGTAGCGAATTCCGTCATGAAGGGAGTATTCTCCGCATCCAACCTGTGTATAAAGCCGGTTAGTGACTGGTGTAAGTAGGGGAATGCATTTTGATGGGGACTTACCGCCACATGCCTGCTGCACCAGCGGACTGAATACCCTTGTAAAATCCAGCGAAGTTGGCCAGCTTGCGGCCGTTGTTTGTCAGAGAGCCCATAAACCTATAGTCCACCTGGTTAGTCCAGTTGTTTGCATCACAAAACCAAGTGACGAAAGACGGGAGGTTTGTGGAGCAAGGGGTCAAACGGACCAGTATGCGCAAGTCTGAAAAGCCGCATCATAGAACCCGTAGAACATGTACAGAAACATTGGGCCCACGAAGCCGTGACTGGTCCAGTCGGTATCCGCCTTGACTGTTTCGCGAGTGTAGGTCTTCTGAAACGCATAACCTCCACCCCAAACACCCATGGTGAGAACAAACAAAATGAAAAGATTCAGCCTGGCTCGGGTGGGACGAGAGAGAAACTTCAAGTCCAGTAATTGCCCAAAGACGAACGCCCCGAGCATCTGCATCAGCCAGTAAAGCAGATTGTTGAGGGCTCGTGTACGGATGGTGAAGTATGCACCATTGACGCTGTTGAACTGGTACGCCGTAAACCAGTTACTTGTCAAAAACATCGGGAAAAGGAGGAGAATATAGTA